TCAAAAGCCACTCCCACCCAGTCACATGGCCGGCAAGCCACTCCCACTCGGTCACATGGCTCAAAAGCCACTCCCACCCAGTCACATGGCCGGCAAGCCACTCCCACTCGGTCACATGGCTCAAAAGCCACTCCCACCCAGTCACATGGCCGGCAAGCCACTCCCACAAAGCAGGCCACACCTACAGAAGAAGTTCTAAAAAAATTTGAAACCCACCACTGCTGTAGACAATCCTCCAATGAGGATTAAAATGAGTATCACTGCATTCTTGTGCATGGTTATCTGGCTTGAGTTCCATTGAATCAAGCATGAAAGTTTCAATTAGAGGCAGTCCTTTTGTTGTGACTGTAATGGAGCTTACAATTATGGTTGTAAGTCATGCTGGTCATAAAATGGGTCACCAAGGGATTGGACTCAATTTTATTATCCTTTTTCAGGTGGCTGTTAAGCGAATGTGGTGAGCAAATGTGGTAGTCATTAAACAAGTGGCATGTTCCTTACTTGAATGTTACAGTGCTTAGCCAACCTATTGTTCACTATGAAAAGTAAATGCCAGCTGTTCTAATGTTGTAAATTGCAATCATGTGATCGCAGGACACTGAAAATGGCTATGTGTAATTGTGAGGTGGTTGCTGAACATCCAAAATGCAGTCATGATTGCAGGAGCGGGTGGACATAAGAACTTTGAAACTAGGTCATAAATCCCATTTTGGGGTATATCATAATTCAAATGGTTGCTAAGCAACTGGTCATGTTGAAGACTAAAGTAAAGGTAAAGCACATATGTGCTAGTTGTTCCCGACTCTAGGAGGCGGTGCTCATCTCTGTTTCAAAGCCGAAGAGCTAGCACTGTCTGAAGACGTCTCTGTGGTCATATGGCCAGCATGACTAAATGCCGAAGGCGCACGGAACGCTGTTACCTTCCCACCAAAGGTGGTACCTATTTTTCTATTTGCATTTTTACATCCTTTCAAACTGCTAGGTTGGCAGAAGCTGGGACAAGTAACGTGAGCTCACTCCATTACGCGGCGCTAGGGATTCGAACTGCCGACCTTTCTCATCGACAAGCTCAGCATCTTAGCCACTGAGCCACCGCATCCTACCTGTCTATAAACTCAGTTATTATAGGATGATAAGCTTGGGGCAAATGTTTTCATCCAGGAGATTTCTGAGACTAAGGCATGTTTTACAGCTAACCAAGATAAATCACTAAGTAGGAATTCCATTAAAAGGAAAACAGGGAAGGGGAATCTCATCTCTAATTATTCTGATTATTTTCTGGCTTGCTCCTATCACTCGGAAGTAGAATTACTTGAAAATGTCATTATTTCTTCATTTATTTACAGAGCAAAGAAGATCTAGAAATTATCCTGTCGCTCCAGCAGAAGATGTCAGGACTCCTGTCTTGAAAAAAGCCCCAAAGCTGAAGTCTTCTGCTGTTCCTCTCCCTTACTCCACCATTAGTAAGTTTAAAGATTCTCCACTTTAGTGGTGGGAATTCTTCCTTGTAGAAATGGGGAGATATAATGACATTTTATCTGTAGTTATGGCAATGGGAAGAGTCTGCATTAATGTCACTTATTTTTACATATAATTATACATCATCTATGGGAGTGAGGTTCTTCTTGCCTTTAAAAAATGAACAGCTATGGCTGACTGAAACTTTTTATAAGTTTTCTTTGTATGGAGTTCTTCAGCTTCCAATATAAATAGATAGTAGATGTTTGGATAGGGCATGGGTCTCTGTTGCAGAGACGGTATTCAGCCGGTTCGCACCGGTTCACCTGAACCAGTGGTGAAAATTTTGCCCAGTTCGGTGAACCGGTAGTGATGACTGGCTGGCCACGCCCCTGGCCCAGTCTCCCTGTCTCCGGATGCTCACCCCATCCACCTGATCACCACTTGCTCGGCCCGACGCTTTGCATACTGGCTCTCAAAGAGGCGGCGGCTGGCCGCAGGACACTGAAAAATCCTCCGGTCAGTGAAAAAGCTGCTGCCTTCACCACCATTTTCTTTGCACATGCGCATCCCATTGCCTTGCAAGTCTAAGCATGCGTGAAGAAAATGGCGGCAATGGCAGCAGCTTTTTCACCGACCGGAGGATTTTTCAGCGGCCTGCGTCCAGCCACCACCTTTTTGGAGTCGGTATGCAAAGCAACTTTCAAAGAGGCAGCGGACATTGGCGATCATGTTGGCGATCCTATTTTTATCAACAGCCTCACAAAAAAGTTCTGCTGAGTTTTGTCCAAACCGGTCCCTTAGATTTTGAAGCCATGATGTTCTTCTTCTGCCTGGAACCTCATTTGCCTTCAATCTTTCCCTGAATGATTAAGTGAAGGATGCCGTATTTTTCTAGGTGTCGCACAGAGGTGGGTTCCTACCAGTTCGCACCTATTCGGTAGAACCGGTTTGTCAAATCTACTGAACCGGTTAGAAGAGGTTCC